GAGCTTAGTTTGGAGTTACATCGCTTTGCGGCGATCAGCAGCAGTCACCGATGAGCACCTGCGACCGAAACCGAGACCAAGAGAGCGACCGTCAAGCAGTGGACGACGACGCCCGGATCAACGAGTTGGTGAACGAGAGGGTAGCAGCGAGACTGGTCAAGATTACAAGGCAACAAGCCGAGCAGCAGCAGAGGACAGATCACGTCCGGAGCGGGAACGACCACGAGACACGCCACCAGCAACATGCGGGGCGACCATCAGCCAGCCCGTCCGCAGACGGCATCGCCCGCATTCTCGCCGACGCCCTGACCAGCCGTCTTCAGATATCACCCGCAGACATGGGTAGAGTACCAAGTAGCGCAGCGACTCTTAGGATGACTGAGGTTAAGCGCCTACCGCCGTGGGATGGTATGTACCAAGGCAAGGGGAGGATGAACAGGCAAGGTTTTTGATTTTTCGATCGAACATGATTGCTATGTTCGCGCAAGAAGGAGTCAGGGAAGTGGTATTGAGTGACCACAGAATTCCAGTTGGGCTAGAAGGAGTAGACATGGAGGACTTACGTAGGATGCACTCGCCTGAAACGGTAGAAAAGGCGACCACGGCGTGGAATTTAATTATCACCACAATCACCTACATGCCTGTCTTGACCCACATTATCGCTGATGGCAGTCCCAGTGGGGGTTGGAAACTATTTCTAGCGTAGACTACGAACCCCAGGCGACAGCAGAGAAAACACGGTTGACTTCAGAATACCATGCCATCAAAATGCGAGTGGGTGAAAGTCCACAAGAATACTTCGGCAGATTTGCTGTTTTGCGCAGTAGGTTAGCCTCACACGGCGTCACATACCCCGACGATGATGCCAATTTGCACGTTGTGTACAACTTGTCTTCCGAGTAAAAGATGGGGCAAGCTTTGCTGCGGTCTCAACATTCAGAGTTGTGGGATGATGCAGGCCGTCGAGATCTATTCGGTTTGTTGGATGCAGGAACTTTTAGTCCGATGTAGCAACCAGTAGAGAACGCCATCAATGCTAAGTGGGTCGTTAACTGTAAAGCAGACGAGTACGGATGGCCGACGAAATTCAAGGTAAGACTTATAGCGCGGGGGGACATGCAGAGGGCTTCGATTGATTTTGGAGAATTGTTTGCACCCACCGTATCAGTGTCTAGTGTGCGCTTGTTGGCAACATTAGCATGTGAGCAGAACCTTGACTTGTGCCATTTTGATATTCAGCAGGCTTTTGTGCAGTCTGAGCTTGATGAGGATGTTTTCATGCGCTTTCCGCAGGGTTGTGGAAGGTTATCTGGCCTGATCGTGAAGCTGTGCAAGAGTCTCTATGGTTTGAAGTAGGCATCACGACATTGGCATGCGCACCTGACGAGGTGTTTGTTACTGTTAGTTTTTTTGCAGTGTCCGGCGGATGCATGTGTTTTTCGATTGATGGAGGAGGGACATGTGATCATGATCATCGTGGTCCACGCGGATGACATTTTTGCTGTAGGGCAGAAGGAGAGGTGTGACAAGTTTGGCAGGGATCTCAACGAGAAGGTCCCCGTGAAGAACCTTGGAGAGTTGAGGTGGTACTCCGCGTGCTTTTACCAGAGAGACGTAGAGAGAGGGCTGTTGAAGATTTCGCAGCAGAGGTTTGCCGAAGAGCTGGCTGCAGAGTATGGCGTTGAGTGGGGGCAGAGTGTGTCTCTGCCTGTTAGCGTAAAGCTCTCCGACTTTGACGTGAGTTAAGCGAGTGCTGATGTCTCTTTTCGCGAGTTGGTAGGATCCCTGATGTGGTTGGCCACTCAAACACGGCCGGACATCGCGAATGCAGTTCGAGCAGTAGCGCGGTATTGCGCGTCTCCCAAAATGGTGCACTGGAAGGCAGCACTTGGTATTTTAGGGTACGTACGCAGGAGGAGTTGGATGGGGATTACATTTGAGAGAGGCGTCGTGACAGGTATGAGCATGCAGGTGTTTGTGGATGCCGACTATGCAAGCAAGGCGGCAGACCGGAGGTCGGTGTCTGGGGGACTAGTGATGTGTGTGGGTGGTGTGTGTGACTCGGTTTTCGAGGACGCAGAAGTGCGTTACGCTTTCCACCACGGAAGCAGAGTATGTGGCAATTGCCGAAGTCTTGAAGGAAGTGTTGTTCTTGAGGCAGGTGTGGCGTTTTATCTTGCCAGATGTGGGTATGCCGTGCATCTCGGTGTTCGAGGATAATCAAGGAGCGATTCAGATTGCGTACGACCCGATCACGAACTCCAACTCGAAACACATCGATGCACGGCATCACTTGATCAGGGAGCTGTTAGAGAGGAAAGAGAATTCAATTACTCATGTGCCGACGCAATTTCAGCATGCATGTTTCTTGACGAAGGCTATTTGCAAGGAGTCTTTTGCGTTGCACCGTGACTTTGTGATGAACTTGCAGTGAAGAAAGTGTTTTGGGGGCGATTCTTATTCTGTAGCGGAGAAAGAGGGAGACGAGATTGGACAAGAGAGAGAGTCTGATGAAGGTGGTAAGGGTGTTGGAGGTGTGTTGGAATTTCTCTTGGTTGTTCTGGAGGAGTTTTGGTTGTGTTTAATTTTTCTTTATTGTTTTGGAGGAGTTTTGCAAGTGTTGGATTTCTCTATTTTGTTTTGAAGGAGTTTTGGATATGTTGGAATTTTTCTTGTGATTGACTTGGAGGGTTCTTGAATGTTTCAGGGAGGATATTGGATGTGGTTGCATTGAGAATTTTCTTGTTTGTTTTGGAGAGATGGTAAAGAGGAATTTGGTTTTTGCCGAAGCATGACGATGTATACGAGCAGGGGGGCTATTAGATATATTGGGGATACTCGTAGCATAGTATGACGGGTAAGATATTCAGTACGTACGTACGGAAATTGCAGTGATGAGATGCCGAGGAATCAAAACTTTCTGGGTATTTTCCTTGGAAGTGGGAAGAGTTTGATGGAGGTCCAGAGAGATCCGTTTGGTAGTTTTGAGCATGATGAGCGTGATGCGTGCTTAATGCCGTGACAGATTTACGAGCGCGAGCACGCCCCCGAAGAACACAACAACTTTTCCTGTACGTCCCTTCCCTACCACGGCCCGTCATGGCGCAGCTGCTCTACACTCCCAACACACAGAACTGAGCCACCCGAATTCTCGATCAGGAGCATGTTGCGTGCCTATGGTTTCTTCGTCCACTGCACCTGGCTTCTATCACCGAACATTTGTCGAAAGAAGGGGGGGGGGTAGGGCGCCGACGAAGGGAGCGGTTACACGCTAGCTGCCAGGTGGGTGAGAGTATTGTAGGATACATCGAGATGAAAGAGCTACACGATTTCCGCCCTTGTGGACCAAATCATAGCCACGAGGAACAATCCCAAAAAACAAAACATCCCACCCTTGACTACCCCTGACACCACGGCTGAGACCCTTGCTGCCCTCCAATCCTACCACGTTGCCCTTGGTGGTGAGATTCAACGTGGCCTACCCCAGGTGGACCTCCGGGTGCTCACGCGCTCGCCGGGGGAGGAAGCCGTGCTTGCCAGACGACAACAGGCCCACGACGGTGGCCACCATGGACTTGTGAAGTCCGCGGCCCTCGCACAAAGCCTTCTTCTCCTCACTCTCAGCGAAGATTTCTGAACGCATCACGTGGACCTTTCCCGCCAGCCGCTCGATGGCAGCGAGGAGGGTCCTCCGCTCCTTTGGGATAGGACCGGTCACCTGCCCTACTTTATCCCGGGGCGATGTGCTGATGGAGGTTGCGAAAATGACGGAGCCGTCGACGGGCGTGGTGTAGCTCGCTGCCTGCACTACGCAAATTAGTTTCCTGAAAATGTATTGAGGGTCAGAGACGTCCTGTTCGGGAAACTAAGGAGCCTAGGGCAAGCAGCGAGATACGCCACGCCCGTTGACGGCTCCGTCATGTTTTTGTCGTTGCTGTTACCATTCTTGTCGTTGTCGCCAGTACCTTTGCGGTTGTTGTCGCGCTGGTCTTGACGGTGCTGCTGGTATGTCTTCTTCTTTACAGTCCACGAGTGCGGAACGGGAATTGGCCAAGGGGCTGCCTTGCCAATTCCCGTTCCGAACTCGTCAAACACAAAGAAGAGGACACGCCAACAACACCGTCGACAAGACCAGCGTGGCAACAACCGCGACGATACCGGCGACAACAAACCGCCGCCGGTCTTCTTGCCGTCCTCGTTGACGGTGCTGCCAAGGTCGCGAGCTTCGCGTGCCTTTCTCATCATGAAGCAACAGACATACCCGACGTGGGGCTGTCGCCAACTCTCGGTCCAGACGAAGCGGCTGGTATGGCAGCCGTTCCTGCGAAGGCGTAGCAGAAGCAGCGGTGGCGGTAGTAGTGTGCGCAGGAACGGCATTGGCGGCACCCGTTGTCTCGTCGCCGTCACATTCGTTAGCAGCAGCAGCAGCAGCAGCGGAGGAAGGCGCGCTTTTCGGCGAGGTGGGAGGGATGGACTTATGCGGCGATGGTATGGTCGGAGTTGCGTGGGATGGCGCTCTTACTGTTGAGGATGACCAGCTTGCGCCGCAGCTCAGGATCGTAGTGTATCGCTGTCTCCGCGGGGGCGGCGTCGTTCGGTCATTTTGCTGGGGGTGTGCGGTACGTGGAGGACCTTCCCAGACTCTATCTTGGGGAGAGGAGATGAAACCCGTTGGTGTATGTAATCGGTTTAATGTTAGCAAAAATGAAATGAGTAAAAAATTTACCCCGTATCCAGGGCATGTGCCCTTATCCAGCCACAAGTCTTCGTAAGTCAAACAGCGCCCTGTATATAGAGTTTGGCCTGTTGGAGCAGATAAGAGTATCTCCTCCACCAGGCCCTTGAGTCACTGAGTCCCCGTTGGGGGCCGGTTCTCTGCATCCACTAGTCCGGTTGGGGTGCCTCATAGCTAGCATGATGTAGCTGTGAACCGTGTCAACACAGCGAGAGTCTTCTTACGACGAAAAGCGCCCGGTAGATAGAGTTTTGCCTTGTGGAGCAGTTAATCTTGTCTACTCCACCGACCGTCGAGCTGCTGAGCCCTCGTGGGTGGACGTTTCTCCGTATCCACCGGTCCGATTGTGCCGACACAATGCAAGTCTTCGTAAGACAAATGACGCCTGGTGGATGGAGTTGGCCTGTTGGAGCAGTTAAGCTTATCTGTTCCACCGACCGTTTGCTTGTCGAAGCGGGCGAGCCGCCGGGCCTCAGGCCCACGGAGTGCCGGGAGATCCGTCTCGCTGTCGCTGTCGCTGCCGCTGCTGCTGTCGCTACCGCTGCTGCTATCGCTGCCGCTGTCATCGCAACTGCTGCCGCCGCTGCTGCTGTCGCTGCAGCTGTCATCGCCGCTGCTGCCGCCGCTGCTGCTGTCGCTGCCGCTGCCGCTGCTGCCGCCGCTGCTGCTGTCGCTGCCGCTGCCGCCGCTACCGCGGCTGCTGCTGCTGCGGCGGTCGTCCTCGCCGCCGCCCACATCGGCCGTGCCGGTCGATGTGGTAGATGGGGCGACGCTCGCGCCCTCCCTGCTCGAGGGGGCGCCATCGCCAGCGTCGCCCGCGCCCGACTCCTGGGACGCAGCCAGTGGCCGCCGGCGCTACGCGCGCGGGCGGCCCCGCGGGCCCCGGGGTTGCCGTCGTGCCAAGGNCGGAAACCGTTTCGGACGAACAGGTTACCGCATCGGGGGAAGTATACCGACTTCCCCTCTTCTTTCTCCAACTCCAACTCGTGTTTGTCTAGGGTTTTGGTTTCGAACCCGTCGTCGAAGAGGGAAGTGAGAGATACTAGGTTGTAGTCTAGTCGGGGGACGTGTGCAACCCGTTTCAACAACAGGTCGGTTGTACCGTCGCGCGAGCTAAGGGTTACCGTCACGTCGCCATACCCTACGATAGGGAAGGTTTCTCCGGCGGCGACGCGCACACGTCGATCACACTCTTCGTAACGAACGAACCCATCTGAGTTCGCGAACATGTGGGTGGTAGCGCCGGTATCGGCAACATACCTACCCCACCTAGCCTGCTCTACACCCCCTCCATCAACGACTGTGTGACACTCGCCTGAGAGGTCACCGACCACCAGCGCCTCTTCTGCCACGTCCAGTGCTGTGGCATCCGCAGACGCCCCTCCCGCCGGCACTTCCACCACGAGCACTGCCTCCTCGGTCGGGCACTTGCTCTTGTCGTGCCCGTAGCCCTTGCATATCTCACATCGCACGGGCTTGCTCTCGGGGCAGTTGGCCACCTGGTGGCCCTTC